TTCTCCTGCCTCAGCCTCCCTAGTAGCTGGGACTATAGTCGCGCACCACCATGCCCAGCTAATTTTTGTATTTTTAGTAGAGACGGTGTTTCACCTTGTTGACCAGGATGGTCTCGATCTCTTGACCTCGTGATCCACCCACCTCAGCCTCCCAAAGTGCTGGGATTATAGGCGTGAGCCACCACGCCCGGCCTGCAAACCCTGTCTCTTAGGATTTTCTTTCTTTCTTTGTTTTCTTTTCTTTTCTATTTTTTGAGACAGAGTTTTGCTCTTATTGCCCAGGCTGGAGTGCAGTGGCACTATCTTGGCTCACTGCAACCTCTGCCTCCCTGGGTTCAAGCAATTCTCCTGCCTCAGCCTCCCAAGTAGCTGGGATTACAAATGCCCGCCACCATGCCCAGCTAATTTTTTGTATTTGTAGTAGAGACAGGATTTCATCATGTTGGCCAGGCTGATCTTGAACTCCTAACCTCAGGTGATTTACCTGCCTTGGCCTTCTAAAGTGCTGGGATTACAGGCATGAGCCACCATGCCCAGCCAAGACCCCGTCTCTTAGAAACATAACTATGTTGGGAGGATGGAGAGAACAGTTGGGTGACGTGATGAGTTAGCCCTCATCTACTGTAATAGGGACTTGTGGGGAACATGACTAGTGCTCACTAATATCTGCTTCTCCCTGCTTTGGGTCATGTAGAAGACTATTTCTCAACCCCTTACAACTGGGCATGGCCACATGACGACTTTCAGCCAGTCAGCTTCATGTGGAAGTGAGGCATTGCCAGTGGACTAAAGCTTAGACCACCCTGCACTGCCTCTTCTCCCTCTCTGGTGATCAAGGGGGCCTTGGGTTAAGATAGCGGGGCCACAGGAGTGAAGCAGCCTGGAATTGCCCCCTGGAATTTAGTTGTCCTGTAAGCACTGAATGGGCTCTGTGAAAGTTAACCCTTTCCTTTGTTAAAGCACTGGGATATGGTATTTAGGCATAGCCTTGCTTAACCAAGCCCACGCTTCAACAGACACTGTCTAAAATGGATGCATCAAGAACTAGCCACTTAAGCATATTCTTTGAAATTGTGGAGATAAGCACTATAAGAATAGCTATAGACATTCAGAGTGGTTGGCTCTGGGGAGCAGGGCAGAGGAGTAAGTGAGCCAGGATGGGTAGAGGGGCAGCTGTTCTCATTATTGTCCTGCATGACTTTTTACACTATGTCATTGTGTTACACTAGCAGAAATAAAATTTTCTTTTCTTTTCTTTTTTGTTTGAGATAGGGTTTCACTCTGTTGCCCAGGCTGGAGTGCAGTGGCACTATCTCACTGCAGCATCTGCCTCCTGGGTTCAAGTGATTCTCCTGCCTCAGTCTCCTGAGTAGCTGGGATTACAGGTGCCACCACCACACCTGGCTAATTTTTGTATTTTTTGTAGAGACGGGGATTCACCATGTTGGCCAGGCTGATCTTGAACTCCTGACCTCGTGATCCGCCCGCCTCAGCCTCCAAAAGTGCTGGGATTACAGACATGAGCCACTGTGTCCAGCCAATCTCCTCTCCCCTCCCCTCCCCTCCCCTCCCCTCTCTGTGTTGCCCAGGCTGGTCTCAAACTCCTGGGCTCAAGCAGTCCTCCCACCCCAGCCTACCACAGTGTTAGGATTGCAGACGTGAGCCACCATGCCTGGCCAAATCTGTCTTTTAGAGTGAGCCGCCGACTTATATGGGTGATGAATTGTGGGGGGAAGGAAGCTGCTGCAGTGTCCCCACGCGAGCTGGTGAGGTGGGACTAAGACATCCACATCACGCATGTCTCTCGAGAGCCTGCTTCTTTGCTGGGCACTGCTGGTAGGCCCAAGGATACAGCAGGGAACAAAATGGACAGTCTTCAGCCTTCAGGGAACTAACATGGGTGAGAAAGCCAAGAGGGCAAAAAAGATGAATGTAAGTCAGGGGGTGGTTTGTGCTGCAATGAAAAATGAAGCTGCTGAAGGCGCTAGAGAGAGTTGGTGGGGAGGATGGTATTTTAGATAGAGTGGTCTGGGAGGGCCTCTCTGAGGAGGTGATATTTGAATTGAGTCCTGCATTAAGTGGTGGAGTAAGCCATGCAAAATATGGGGGGATGAGGGTTCCAGGAAGAGGCAAGAGCAAATCCAGAGGCCCCAAAGTGGGGAGGTGGGAGTGGTCTTGTCCAGGGAACAGCAAAGAGGCCAGCGTGTGGCAGCGGCACATCGGTGGAAGGGAAGGTGCTGGAATCTGAGATCTCAAAGGTGGTTGGGGCAGCTTGCGGAACAGAGGGAACTTTGGGAAGTCGCTGGGGGATTGGGAGCAGGGGAATGCCGTGATTTGTCTTGGGCTGGAGAAGGGAGTCTAAGGTGGCCAGAAGGACAGGGCATGGCTGTGGGGGAGGGGAGAGAGGGTGGCGGGGGGAGGGGTGGGGGCGCCTGGCAGGCAGTCAGCCCTGGGCTGCTCAGCCCACTTGGACCAACTACAGCAGCTTCATCACCCACTTCCCAGCATCCCAGCCCCCTCTGGGAATGGAAGGATCCTTCACAAATCAAAATAGCAGGCAAAGAACAGCCTCTAATTGTTCTGCGTAAGAGCAGAGAAATTAGACGAGTCAGCTGTGGGGTTGAGGCCGCCTCTCACACAGCTGTGATCCTGCATCCCACTGAAGACACTTCCTGAGACTTGCAATTCTGCTGTCTCCGAGCAAAACTTTTCCTTCTCCAGCCCCAGAGCAAATGACAGCTGTTTGGGAGGGAGTAGGACAGATGCTGCCCTGGAGGACAATGAGTGCATCAGTTTCTTTCTAACCAAAAATACCAGTCACTTCATGCAGGAACAGCCTTAGCTGATGCAAGTGTGTTCTATCATTCCAAAACATTGAGTGCCTCGTCCTAGGCGTCCAGGGCTGGGCATGGGATCAGAGAGATTCTAAAGGAAATGGAGGCACGGAGTATGGGACCAGCCTTGGGGTAGAGGAAAGAGAGCACGGGGAGTCAGGAGGTCTCAGTTCTCGCCTTGGCTCTGCCACTGTTGCTGTGTGACCTTGGGTGAGTCATACTGCCTCTCTGGGCTTCAGTCTCCCTGTCTGTCCCAGATGTAGGCTTTAGGCTACATAGTAATTCTCAGACTTTAGAGTTCATAAGAATCACTTGGGGGTGAGGAAGTGCTTGTTAAAAGATGAAGATTCCCAGGATCAGTTCCAGAAATGAAGATTGATTGGATCCGAGGTGCAGTTCAGGGTTCTGCATTTCTTCCAGGCTCTTTCAGCAATTCTGAAGAGAGCCCTTGGACCATGCTTTAACAAAATCACTTCCCCTCAGTGCATCTCTCCTCCTGCTCTGGAATTTGAGGAGTCACTCACGTAACCCTCCTCTGGGTATTTCGGATTGCTCCAGAAGTATGAGAGCAGTGTTGCATAGCCCTGCCTCAGGTGCTCATGTGTTGCTGTGGTGGCGATGCTGCATTTGGGAAGGTCTGGTTCAGCGTATGCAGCCTCTCCCTGGGGTTACCTGGTGCCCTGCCCAGGCCCTGGTGAAGAAGGGGCCAGGGCTGTAAATGCTGGCCAAACAAGATAGTTGTGCAGCGCAGAGAGCATGGAGGGAAGCTGGGAGGGCTGGTTGCTGAGTTTGGCTGCAGACATCCGGCTTGGACCCCTGGGCTCATGCCCTGGGTCGGATGTCACTGCTCCCCTTCCCCACACCATTGTGGATGGGAAGAGGGATGCACTGTGGCTTCTGCAGAGAAGTGAGTCCAGTTGCACGGGGATGGGGAGGCCCGGATGGGGCCACAGGAAAGGCTGAGAGCTCTGGTCTACCTCAGAGGACACCCGGGGGCCTGAGGCCCCAGCCAATATGCTAGGCAGTGTCCCTCCCTCAGCAAGCATATTCCCCAAAGGCCAGGTCAGTGGCAGAAGCTAGAGAATCAAGTCACTCTGGTCTAGCCCCCTCCAATCTTTATCTATGAAGAGAAATAACAGCAATCATGTCTGGAGTGCTCTCCGTGCATCAGGCTTGCAGCTAAGTGCTGTATTAGCTTATTAAATGTTCACAGCCATCCTAAGAGGTTGCTACAAACATCACCCCTCTTTTACAGTTCTGGATGCAGAGCCTTCGAGAGGTCAAGTTTCTAACTCAGAGTCACTCAGCTAATATAATAAATAGTAGAAGCAGGATTAGAACCCAGCTCTGCTTTCTTCTGGAGCCCAGTTTTATTTTTAAACATATTACTTAATACTTCTTGGAAGATAATGATTTTTCTTTTTATTTTCTTTTATTTACTTATTTATTTTTGAGACAGTGTCTTGCTCTGTCACCCACTCTGGAGTGCAGTGGCAGGATCTCAGCTTACCCCACCCTGGGCTCAAGTGATCCTCCCACCTCAGTCTCCCAGGATTATAGGTATGTACCACTATGTCTGACTAATTTTTATATATTTTTTTATTGTAGAGATGGGGTTTCACTGTGTTGCCCAGGGTGGTTTTGAACTCCTGGGCTCCAGCGATCCACCTGCCTTCACCTCCCAAAGTGCTGGTATTACAGGCCTGAGCCACTTTGCCTGGCCCAGGATTTTTCTTAAAACTTCTGCCAAAGTTATTCACAACCAGAGAACTCTTTTTGCTTCTGTTGTAGTGAAAGGAGTGATGCCGAATCAGATAGTGCAGGGTTCTAGTCCCACCTCTGCCCCTGACCCTTTTTTTTTTGAGATGGAGTTTCACTCTTGGTACCCAGGCTGGAGTACAATGGTTCGATCTAGGCTCACTACAACTTTTGCCTCCCAGGTTCAAGAAGTTCTCCTGCCTCAGCCTCCCTAGTAGCTGGGATTACAGGTGCCTGCCACCATACCCAACTAATTTTTGTATTTTTAGTAGAGACAGAGTTTCACCATGTTAGTCAGGCTGGTCTCGAACTCTTGACCTCAGGTGATCTACCCACCTTGGCCTCCAAAAGTGCTGGGAAACTGAAATCTGTGAAATAGGATCAATTACACATGCATTTCCTTCTCAGGTACACTAAGATGAAGACAGCCACCAACATCTACATCTTCAACCTGGCCTTGGCCGATGCACTGGCCACCAGCACGCTGCCCTTCCAGAGTGCCAAGTACCTGATGGAGACGTGGCCCTTCGGCCAGCTGCTCTGCAAGGCTGTGCTCTCCATTGACTACTACAATATGTTCACCAGCATCTTCACGCTCACCATGATGAGTGTCGACCGCTACATCGCTGTCTGCCACCCTGTCAAGGCCCTGGACTTCCGCACACCTGCCAAGGCCAAGCTCATCAACATCTGCATCTGGGTCCTGGCCTCAGGTGTTGGCGTGCCTATCATGGTCATGGCAGTGACGCGTCCCCGGGGTGAGTGAGCGAGTACGCCGTGGCACAGGCCACTGACCGCAGGAGGCAGCACATGGGCCTTTGTGGGCTTGCAGGGCACTTACCAGGGTGAGTGTAGGTGGTTCACCAGCAGAGGTTGGCTTCTGATCGAGATCAGTGATGATGTGGTGGTTGGCCAGTGGGAGTGTAGAAGGTCAGCCAATGGGAATGGGAATGGCTGGCCAGTGAGGCATGAGGATGGTTGACTATTGTGAGGGTGAATGTGATCAGTGGTCATACTGGTTGCTGGCCAATGGGAATGTATGAATTTATGAAGGCGATTATGGGTGGCTGGTCATGTACTTGTAGGTGGCTGGCCAGGGGTGTGTGGATGACTGATCTCTAGAGATATGGATAGATATGCAATGAGGTAATGGTTTCACTGACCAGTGAGCCGTGGAGGCCGCAAAATCTGCAGTCCCATTTTAAACTCCCCTTTCATCCCAATTTGAAAACCACTGGCCTGGATGACCGAAGCAAGGCCTAGAGAATGGCCCACAGGGAATGACAAATAGGAGCTAACATGGTAATTATTATAGTAACTGCATTCGGGGAGCTGCTATGACATTGTCCAAAGCTCAGGGGCTTAACACAGTGGAGGTTTCTCTCTCACTCCCATCACAAGCCTGTGTGAGTGGGAGAAGCACAGTCATTCAGGGACCCAGGCTCCTGGTGATGGTTTCTGAATCTTCTACTGCTGGCATCTGGCCCACAGATGAATATGGAGAGGGAGCGGGGAGAAAGCACAGCTACTTGAAATGTTGGCTGGGTGCAGTGGCTCACGCCTGTAACCCCAGCACTTTGAGAGGCCAAGGCCAGTGGATCACTTGAGGTCAAGAGTTCCAGACCAGCCTGGCCAATATGGCCCTATTTCTACTAAACATACAAAAATTAGCTGGGCGTGGTGGCACATGCCTATAGTCTCAGCTACTCGGGAGGCTAAGGCAGGAGAATCACTTGAATCTGAGAGGCAGAGGTTGCAGTGAGCCAAGATCGCACCCCTGCATTCCAGTCTGGGCGACAAAGCAAGACTTCTCAAAATAGTGACAGCTGGTCACATGACCCCACCTTAATGCAGCTGAAGTGAGAAATACAGTTTAGAAGGGCACCACAGACACAGTAACTAATTAACCTCTCTGAGCCACACAATATTATGGGATGTTGAGAAGGTTAAAAGAGATAATATGTATAGAATACTTAGGACAAGTCCTGGCTCATCACCAACACCCAATGAATAGCAGCTATTAAATGATTAAGGCTGTGAGATGGACAAGGCAGGGACTCCCACCTCCATGTCACTGTAAGAAAAGAGAATCAGAGAGGTCAGGCAGTTTCCTTAGGGTCACACAGCCAGGCATTTTGTGGAATTTGGCCTGCAGCCTAGGGTTCCTGCCCCCAGGTCTGTTCCTCCTTCTAACTCCTTGGGTGGAAGTTTGCAGAAGGCCCATGCTGTGGGTGGGAGAGAACAAGCTTCTTGGTTACCCTTGACCCTCACAAGGGCAGAACCCCTGGTGCCCTTCTAAGCCTACGAGCCATTGGTTTTAACTCAGCAGCAGGGCCCCATTCCTCACTGTCAGCCTTCAGTTTATGGGCCATTAACTGCATTCCTGCTGGGGCTGGACCAGATGGGCCTCCTCACTGCACAATCCCTCACACACACACTTCCCCAGTGTGGGCCATCAGCACTTATTGGACCTGTGGGCCACTTGCTATGTGACCTTAAACAAGCGCTGTTCTGGTTCTGACTTCTACACAGTGAAGGTCTTGGAGTTAGTCATTTCTAGGGGTCCCGCCAGCCTCATGTCCTGTGGACCCCCATGTCTGTGGATCCCAACCCTTCTCACCTCTCAGGCTCCAGTCCACTGTGTGGCTTCTTATACCCTAGCATTCCAAGAGATCCTGGGAGTCCCCTGGGCCAGCCTTGAGGCTGTATCAGAATCCCACAGCACCCCCCAGGTGTTCATCCAGCCCAAGCCCAGCCCAACACTCCAGGAATGGGGAGCTCATTCTATCCTGGCTGCCCTTCCTATCTCAAGAAGGAAGTCCTTGCAGTTAAGCTGAAATCTGCTTTCCTCCCAGAAGGAAGGAGGTTTTTGTTGTTGTTATGGGACAGAGTCTCTGTCATCCAGGCTGGAGTGCAGTGGCACTATCCCGGCTCACAGTAGCCTCAACCTCCCGGGCTCAAGTGATCCTCCCACCTCAGCCCCCCACGTAGCTGGGACTATAGACGCGTACTACCATACCCAGCTACTTTTTTTTTTCCAAGAGATGGGGTTTTGCCATGTTGCCAAGGCTGGTCTTGAACTCCTAGACTCAAGCAGTCCACCTGCCTCAGCCTCCCAAAGTGCTGGGATTACAGGCATGAGCCCCACGCCTGGCCAGGAGGTTCTTGTGATTCAACTGAGACCTGCTTCCCTCTGGGGAGGCTGGCCCTATCCCTGAGTGATAGACTCCCACACATATGTGCCCCTCTTCCCTGTGGGTACACCAAGAACTTAAACCCACTGTGCTAAATGCTTTAGGGGCCTTAGCCTATTTACTTGTCACAACAATCCTGGAGATGTGGATCCTGTCATTAGCTCGACTCCACTGAAGTTTCAAGAGGTTTAGTAATTTGCTCATACTGTGGAGTAGGGCCTGAGTCCTGCTCCTAACTCATGCTAAGTCCATCTTAGCAGTCCTGTCCCCAGTGGAGCTAGTTTGGAAATGGGTCAGGGTGTTTTGAGTTACTGCAATGACTGGCATTCAGTGGGCTGAGCTAAATGATTTCATTACTGCCGCGCATGGACACAAAAGCTGATTAAAGGGCCAGGAGAGAACATGGAAAGGGGACCTCCCAGATGAGGGCCGATCCTGCTGGTCTGTAAGGATAACCAAGAGTTCACCAACTACAGAAGCCGGGGAGGACATTCCAGACAGAAGAATCCCCTTGAGCAAAGGCTGGGAGGGGAGGTGGGACCTGCCCAAGCCTTAGAAGGGTGGGTGAACAGGTGGGGGCCCCTCAGGCGCACAGGCTCCTCACCCCATCTGTCTTTCCTTGTTTCCGTGGCCCAGACGGGGCGGTGGTGTGCATGCTCCAGTTCCCCAGCCCCAGCTGGTACTGGGACACGGTGACCAAGATCTGCGTGTTCCTCTTCGCCTTCGTGGTGCCCATCCTCATCATCACCGTGTGCTACGGCCTCATGCTGCTGCGCCTGCGCAGCGTGCGCTTGCTGTCGGGCTCCAAGGAGAAGGACCGCAGCCTGCGGCGCATCACGCGCATGGTGCTGGTGGTGGTGGGCGCCTTTGTGGTGTGCTGGGCGCCCATCCACATCTTCGTCATCGTCTGGACGCTGGTGGACATCGACCGGCGCGACCCGCTGGTGGTGGCCGCGCTGCACCTGTGCATCGCGCTGGGCTACGCCAATAGCAGCCTCAACCCCGTGCTCTACGCCTTCCTCGACGAGAACTTCAAGCGCTGCTTCCGCCAGCTCTGCCGGAAGCCCTGCGGCCGCCCGGACCCCAGCAGCTTCAGCCGCGCCCGCGAAGCCACGGCCCGTGAGCGGGTCACCGCCTGCACCCCGTCTGATGGTCCCGGCGGTGGCGCCGCCGCCTGACCAGGCCACCAGCGCGCCCCTCTCTAGTGACCCGGCGGCCACATGAGTCCCAATGGGAGGCGCGGGCCACGGTCTGGAATGGGTCAGTAGAAGGTCGGAGGCTTGGGACCGCCGGGTGGGGACCCTGCTTCGGAGACGGGGCCAGGCAGTGAGATGGGCATGGGGTGGGCCTCTGGCTTGGGGCAAGGCAGAGGGCAGATCGATGGCGCGGTGCCTCTGGACTGGGTGCCCCGTCCACGGCTCTAGGTGGGGCAGGGGAGCCAGTGACTCCAGGGGAGGAGCGGGATCTGTGGCCCTAGAACTGAGTCCCTAAGTAGGGCATCTCCAGGGGAGCGGGGCTTCAACCTTGAGACAGCCTTGGTTTCTAACTTGGAGCCCAGCTTTTGGAGTTGGGGGTCCGAGCCCAGGACCAGGAGGGGCAGTGGCCGGGATGGTTGCTTGAGAACTGAGCTGGAAGACTGGGCCTCTGTGTAGTAGGGAGGGGCCTCCTGTGAGGGGAGACCCAGAGACAGGACAGTTGGGTGTGGCTACAGCTCAAGATCTGGTCACCAGATAGGTGGCTCGTGCAAAGGCCCTGTGGCCTCAACTTCAGGATGCAGCCCCAGACCCCAGTTCTAGCAAGGGGCTAGGCTCGTGGAGGTCCAGGTGCAACTTGACACCTTTGTAAATAGAACAGAAAAGACTTGAGGGACCAGGTGCAGTGGCTTAAGCTTGTAATCCCAGCACTTTGGGAGGCTGAGGCGGATGGATGGCATGAGCCCAGAAGTTAGAGACTAGTCTGGGAAACATGGAAGACCCTGTCTCTACAAAAAATACAAAATTAGCCAGGCAGGGTGGTGCGCACCTGCAGGCCCAGCTCCTTGAAGGTGAGAGGATTGCTTGAGCCCAGGAGTTCGAAGCTGTAAGTGAGCTATAATGGTGCCGCTGCACTCCAGCCTGGGTGACAGAGTGAGAAAAAAGAGAGAGACTGAGGGAGGAAGAGATAGGAAGAGAGAGAAACAATGTACCTTTTATCTCTTTGGCGGTCATCTGTTTCCTTGGAACAGACAGGAATGCCTTAGAATTGAAGTGGCCACAGTGCAATGTCCCAGTAGGGCTTGGGACAGGACAGCAGAGAGGGGAGCCAGCCGTTCCAGGATAGGGTCTTGGTTGGGGTAGGGTCCCCAGACCTGAGTACTAATGGGGGCCCAGAGGCTTGGGAGAAGAAGGCTTCCAAAACCAATTCCAAAACCCAGGCCCGGAGTGGACCTCTTTCTTTGCCAAGGGGTGGTTGTGGATGGGTGGAAGAAGAGAGGTGGGCTTCTGCTTCAAGGTTAGGTCCTCCAGTGGAGGGTGGATGCTGTTTGTGGGTCCCCAGAGCCCTAGTTTCTCTAGCCCAGATACTGGAGGACAGAGGACCACGATGGTAAGTGGTGCCTGAGACTCTGGGGGTGGATGTGGTGTGAGAAGCATCAGTTTGGACTTGGTGCTGGGTCCTGGGCCCCTGATAAGAACCTGGATGAAATCTTCTTCCCTTCTCCCAACATCCGGCTGCGCCCATGTGTCTGGTGTCAATGACTCCAGTGAACTGGAACTGCCCACAGGGGGACCTGACCTTAAAGGAACTGGGGCAGAAGCTTTTGTAACTGCAAGGCCAGCATCAGCGTGCGCTCCCCTCTGCCTTTCCCCCCAGTCTCCCCGGGTCCTCCACCTGCCTCAGCCCAGCTGCCCGCTTCACACTGCTGAGGGTGGCATCCACCTGGAGTTAGTGTAGAAGTTTTTCTCTTCATTGGTTTGGTGTTTTTTTCAGGATCTTTGCTTCCCAGAATATCTGTGTCTGCCCTTGTTCCCTGCACCTCCCCCGTGCCTCCTCTCCTCTCCCCCCACTGTTCTCCCCTCCCTCACCAACACTGCCTCAGTGATGCACCCTGACTCCCTATTGAAGCAGTGTGCTGACATCCTTGTAAAAACAAATTTAATTTTCTTCCTTTTTTGGGACAGATGGAAAGAAATTGACGTCTTTGTCTCAAACAAAAGAAAAAGAAAAAGAAACAATATACTTCTTTCCTTTTTGACAGCCATATCTTTGGAACAAAAGCTGGGAGGCTGTCACTCCAACAGGGACTGAATAGCATGCAGGGGGCTGGGGACTTAGGCACCAAGAGGGGCTTTGGGCACATTAGGAGGAAGGGATGCCCATGGAGGGCAAAGCATAGCCCCCTTCTCAGGGTGAGGCTCCCAGCAGCTCCAGACCCAGGGACGTGCCTCCTTCAGGAAATGGCTCCCCTGGGTCCTGGAAAGATGTGGGGCCGTGCCCAGCACTCAGATCCAGCCTGCCAACCCACTGTGACCTGGGGTTCCAACCCACCTACGCTGTGACCACAGAGACCCCTGGGTCTGAGGGTGGGAGGTTGTCAGTAAGGCAGGAGACACTTCTCCTCATCAGGGGCTCCTCCTGTGAATGCTCTCGGGGTATGGCAGAGAAAGGGGACAATCTAGGAACTGGGGAAGACTCCTGAAGGAGGTGACATTGGAGCCAGGCTGTTTACTCTCCCTGCAAGAACTGTGTCCCTTCCAGGATAGGCCTGCTCTTGAAGCCCACTCATTGCCATCTCCTGTGGCTGTAACGGATCTGGCTGGTTTTTGCCCCTTCTGATACATAAATCTGTGCTGGGTCATCAGGGGCCAGGTCTGGACCATGTGTGTTTAAGGTAGTGCAAACTTCTATTGAAATCTGCTTCACACCAGGCATGTACTCTGGGCACCAGGACTCGGAAATGAGTCACCCTCGGCCCTGCCCTCCAAAATCCTGAGCGAGTTCTGGGAGACAAAGCATCAGCAGATGAGTGCACCTCAGTGTGATGAGTGCAGTGACAGGGAGCCCCAGGGAGGGTGTCACGGGGAAGTGCCTTTTCTAGCTTTTCACTAAAACACGTTTGTAGCAATTCTGTAAGAGGTGGATAAGGGTCGGGGGCCCTGAAGGATGAATAGGAGTTGGCCACCAAGGAGAGGAAACAGCATGTGAGGATGTTTAAATGCTTGGCAAACCCAACGAGTAGGGTGCAGCTGGAGCACAGGGCTTCACTGGGCTCTTGTGTGTGCCAGGCTCTCTGCCAGGTGCCTTGTGTGCATCAGCCCACCTGATCCTCTGGAGAGCCTGGTGAGGAAGTAGTGTTATGCCCATTGTAGACAAAGAGAGCTGAGACTGAGAGAGGTCCGGCTACTTGCTCCTGAGGCACAGAGCCTGTTTGTAGTGGCAGAACTTGGGTCCCTGGAATTCCAGGCTTCTTAGCTGGGCGTGGTGGTGCGCGCCTGTAATCCCAGCTACTAGGGAGGCTGAGGCAGGAGAATTGCCTGAACCCAGGAGGCGGAGGTTGCGGTGAGCCAAGATCGTGCCATTGCACTCCAGCCTGGGTAACAAGAGTGAAACTCTGTCTCAAAAAAAAAAAGAAAGAAAGAAAGAAAAGGAAAAGGAAAAAAAAAAACTCCAGGTATCAGGGAAGTAGAAAGGCCTTAGAAGCTGGAACCCCAGAATGAGGTTGTTTTTTTTTTTTTAATTTTTTTTATGTTCTTTCTTTTTTTTAATCTTGAGAATGAGGTTTTTTGAAGACCTAAAACCACATGGAAAAATCTAAAGGAAACAGGCAATTTTCTATGAACTTTTGTTCCTCCTGAAGCTCTCCAGATCTTCACGTTTCAGAACATACTGTGCATGGTGCCTGTTAAACTCTAAATTGACAGTATAATTCTAGATCTTCACAGGGTTCTAAAACTGCAGAGTAGGTCTGTTTTCCCCAAAATTTCCATTTCTCTCCCTCCAGGAGGAGGGAGAGAAGTTTTTGCCCCTGATTTCAAAATTTCAAAATGTCCTACTGTTCCAGATCTCCTCTTCTTCACCTTCATCCTCAACCTTTTTTTTTTTTTGAGACAGGGTCTTGCTCTGTTACCCAGCCTGGAGTGTAAGTGCAGTGGCGCAATCGTAGCTCACTGCAGTCTCAAACTCCTGAGCTTAAGTGATCCTCCCACCTCAGCCTCCTGAATATCTTGGCTGACAGGTGTATGTCACCATCCCCAGCAATTTTATTTTTATTCATTTCTATTATTTTATTTTATTTTTGAGACAGGGTCTCTCTGTGACGCACAGGCTGGAGTGCAGTGGCACCATCTCGGCTCACTGTAACCTCCACCTCCTGGATTCAAGTAATTCTCCTGCCTCAGCCTCCTGAGTAGCTGGGATTACAGGTGTGAGCCACCACAGCCCAGCTAATTTTTGTGTTTTTAGTAGAGATAGGGTTTCACCATGTTGACCAAGCTGGTCTCGAACTCCTGACCTCAGGTGATCTGCCCACCTTGGCCTCCCAAAGTGCTGGGATTACAGATGTGAGCCACCGCATCCAGCTTTTTTTTTTGAATAGAGACCAGAGTGTCTCTGTGTTGCCCAGACTGGTCTTGAACTTCTGTCCTAAAGCTGTTCTCCTGCCTTGGCCTCCCAAGGTACTGAGTTTACAGGTGTGAGCCACTGTGCCCAGCCCTCATACCTCGACTTGATGCAATACAAGTAGTGGTTAAGGCTGGAATCAGATCTTGGCTTTCCTTCTCTGAGCCTCAGTTTCCTCATCGGTAGAGTGGACTTCCTTCATGGGTGGTTGTGAGGATTTAATGTATGTATAGGGATAGGGCCCTGCACATAAGTAAACTAAGTACATGGTAAGTGGCAGTTATTGCTTAAAAGTGGAGCCAGAGTTCAGGGTCAGAGCTAGAGACCCACAGGGAAGAGTACATGAGCTATCAGGGCTAGTGATGGAGAGAGAGGAGAGACTGGAGATCTGGCTTGGGGATCCCCTGGCTTCCTGGCTCAGGAGCCACCAGGGAGAATGAGCAGCTGCCAGAGAAGCAGGAGGAGGATGGGGAGAATGTGCTACCATGGAAACTGGAGGAGGAGGGCGTTCCCAGGGGGAGGGAGTGATGGATAATGTCAAGCGTCATCAGAGAGGATGGGAGTAGGGAGGGCTGAGGGTGATGGGAACCCTCCAGTTTAGTTTTTTACATGGCCCAGGCAGCCCCCAAGCCTGGATGAAATCCCAGCTCTCAAGCTAACTGGCTG